TTTTTTTTTAAATCCCTTTTTGGTTTCTGATAATTCATACATATTCAAGATTTATTTAATCTGAATTATTACTGATCATCTTGCACAGAAAGTGAGATTCTGGAAGAAAGTGTATGTGATTTACAGCTTCTTCTTTGTGAGGAAAATCATTGCACATTGGGTCACATTTTGTTTCTACTGCGTTGTTCTTCCTCTCACTATTCTCGTCCCCGAGGTTAAAGTTCCGATTTGGGGTTCCGTTTATATCCCTTCCATCATCACTATCCTCAACTCCGTCGGTACTCCAAGGTAAATGGGGTTGCTTGTATCTCAAGTCACAACCTTTCTTCCTTATTAGGTTACTTGTACGTCAAGTAACTTCGCTTTCTTCCTTACACTGAATCTTTTGGTTTTGATTTTGTCAAAAGGTCGATTCATCTACTGTTCTATTGGATTCTGTTCGAGAATGTGATGTCGCTGCATCGTACAAAGGCCACTCTCATTGGTCTGTTTGAGGCAGGTAGGGCTAACGAATGGGTCGTGACTGCTAAGCTTGGAAGTGGTCAGACGAACGCTAAAGGGAACACTAAAGGGCTCAAAAGGTTCCCTAGAATCTTCAAATTACCTGACCGGTATGTATACTTCCACATCGAAAAAATGTGTTCATAGTTCCTATTTGAAACTACATATAGACAGTACTTGATGATCATGAGTTATTTGTCTCAGATTGAATACATTGGAGCTAGGATTCGCAGCGTTCTTGTTTGTGTGTGGATGCTATGACTTTGTGCATGGGAAGAACAATTACTTCATCTACCTGTTTCTTCAGACATTGTCTTTCTTCATCAGTGGGCTTGGCTGGATTGGGACTTATGTCCCGAGTTAGTAGTTGTCTTCTATGATTCAGAGGAAAAAGAGAAGGTTACTAATTTTCTGCAAAAAATAAAAAGACAATTTTCTTGGAAAATCACAAAGGAAAATTGATAGGGAAAATGGTTTGAGGAGATGAGACGTTACGGTGACTAAGTAGGAAGAAAGGAGGAGACATTAAATCAAAGACAAGGAAGGAAGAGAGACTCGAAGGG